CAAAAGCTGACATACTATATGCCGTTGAAAAATGCTAGTGTCAGAGGCCTTCGAATGGTACTAATACTACCTGCTCGATAATATTCCATCGAAAAGTAACCACCGTATAGCGATCGGAGTAGCTTAATGGCGATCAATGCTCAAACTCAAGTGTCGGCAGCAACAATTTATTCCTATATAATATAGACAAATGACAGATGTGACAGATATACATTAAACATAGTATGATTTTTAAGAGATCAACTCTGATTGCGGTAGGACCCGCCATGCTACTCGTATTGCAGCAAACCACCCACATTCTTTTCCGAATGATTTTTGCAACCGACTCTCACGAGGATTTTTCCCTGATTACTACTATGTTAACGGTTAACCCTAGACGTGAGCAAGATATCTCTCCCTCCTATCCATCTATACTGCATAGTAACGTAAATTATATATATATATTAATACTAGTGAAAGGTTTATTTAGCTGATTGATATATTCAGGGCACTGAATCCAGAGTCTAGTAGATAAACTCTCGTAAAATCGCTCCGTCCAATCCTATCAGCAAGCGACTGCTTATATTCCTCGATATTCTTTTTTTTTATATACACCTTTTCATTAGTGCAATTATTTCTTGTATATGTACATACGTATATCTACGTAGAATATAACTGATATTTTCCCTTTGGCTTTTTCTTTTTCCACTTCGCATTCACTCTTTAACCTTTTCTGTTTCATCTTTTATTTCAATTGTAGCCATTTAGCTTCCGGTTTTCTTGATGTATACAGTCGGTAATTCTGTAGCGTTCTAGAGTTTACTTCCGTTCATGCACTATATATAATAATTTTTATTGCAAATATATATATAATCAATGTAATTGTTAGCTAATATTGTCAGTATCCACTCGCTAAAACACTTGGGTTTACATCTTATTCAAAACCATTTCTTACTAATATTTCTTTTGTTTTGCTTCTTAGTGTTTGTGGATTTAAAAATCGTGACTGTCGATATCACTCAAGTTTTGCAGTGAGGATTTTCGTTGACGCTGTTTATGTATCTCTTATTTGTATTTGTGTAGAGTAATCCATTATTTGGAAGATTTTCAATCATAACTCAAACATATTTTAACAATACTTAAGCACATCTCATTTTATCTGCACAGAGATAATGTGAAATGTTGATATCTAAGCGGAGACAAATATAAGAACAGGTCCGTCTACAAATTAAGATGTTTGGGGAAAATGAGTTTCTTGAAATCTATCCTTTGTTTATAATCAAATGAATCTTGATCATGTTCCTTTGTGAACAGTTGAATGATTCAATTAAAACAAACATATACACCGATATGTATCGACATTTCGCCTCTATCCAATTTTATTTTTTAAAATCTTCCACGTCGAATAATTGTTCCCAACTTCCGTTGCTTCATTTCTCCAAAATACACGGTTGAACACTCATTAGTTTTTTTTTTCTTTCTTTTTTTTTTTTTGCTCTCCACATTGCAGCAAATGTGATCGGTATTCTTGTTACTACATTCTTTCTGCTGGTTTCCGTTTGCTTTATAAATAATTCTCGTTTGATATTTCAAATGTCTTTTCTTTTAATATGTTCTAGTATAATTTTAGTGTAAACATAACACATGAGAATATAAGATTTGCACGGACAATTGTCTACATTTCAATTAATAACGTCGACGGTCTGCCCGCTGGACATAATCATATGTCTGGCGTAGTTAGTAATCGCCAGAGAATATCTAAATTGTTTGTTCATATTTTGCAGTCCACATTAAATTAAATTCCGTATCAATTATTTCTATCTAGTTAATCTCTTCTCGGCATTTGGCTTGAAACCAACATTCTCGTTTAAGTGTTCTGTGACGTATACTATTCCACAGTATGATCTGTGATCGGGAATTTGAATAAGAACGGCGATTGCACATAAGCTGAATCGAAATAAAAATCAGGATGTGGAATTAGTAAATACTAAACACTTCAAATATCTCAGTGTATGGATCAATTAAAACATTTTTTTACATCAGATAAGGAAATTGAACAAATGTTATGCTGTACAAGGGGTTGTTTTGTTCAACAATATAAGGTGCGTCACGGCTAAGACATTAAAGTTTCGATTTATATACATAACTATGCTTGTCAGATCGAAATTTTCATATGGATGACATACATGATACCCAACGTATGCAGAAATGTATACAATGTCAAATGTATAGAACCAAATTCTCAGATCAATCATTAAAAATGGCTTCTAGGGAATTAACCGGGGATGCATTATCACTCACAAGAATTGCAAGAAAAATAACCGAAACGACATTAGTAGTGGATTTTCAACAGCATTAACATGTAGAGCTAAGTGGACACACGCTCGCATCCAAGCATCGGGATCGTCATCCACTCTGTTTATTTCTTTTATCCCTTCTAATGGCGATGGCAGATATGCCTTTGAAGGCCCGGCCTACTCCTTTGATAATACGAGAACAGAATTCACAGGATTGACGGTGGTGGGCAGGCTGAGCGAGTCAAGGTCGCCTGACAGCACGTTGCAGATCCGCTTCATGTTGACGGTTGGATCGAAAGTCCATGTCCCCACTCGGATGGTCCTTCGCCAGGAATGACGATTTGCTGTAACGGTTTCTCAGGTCAGAGAGTCGATGGTGGCCTGTGTCACCGATGTCTTCAGCTGATATTAAAAGCGTCGTTTTGGGCCTAAGGGTGGCTTCTTACCACTGGCGAGTTCTCCAAACAGGATGTTACTTGGGAGTATCAACTAGAAAAGATAGCACATATAATTTGGAGAGATAATGACCTTGGATGTTGGTATTCCTCAAAATGTCGCTTAGAAAAGAAGCCCCAATCAATGGAATAATGGATACAGGGACTCTATTATAATTGAAAAATAATTTCATGAAAAATTGTTTTAATAGAAATATTTTATGAATTTCAACCGAGAGTATAACTTGCTACTCGCTCAATGAATACTGAAATTTTCCATATAAAGAAACTATTTACTTCCACTGACTAGAGTGTATAACATTTTGTACTAAGCGAGCTCAATAAGAACATTTAAAAAGTACATTTATAGTACAGTTCTGGATCACGCGTATCCATTTTGCTATCGATAACTGCAACAATTAACAAGATCAATAGACGATCGGTTTTACATGTTGGGTTGAAGTCATAGAACATTTCAAATTCATCATCATTACAAGGTCAGTTCATATTTGTCTTTAAATATTTGTATACCACTACTGCAATCTTGAATGAAGATATGGCAATTCTGCTTGTTGCTACGTTAGTAAATTAAAACGTTAAATATGAGAAGCATTTAAGGTAGCTCCTACGAACGGCTCCTGATTGAGCATGCATCGCAATAGGTAGGAAGGTGTAGATGCGACAGTGAACAAAAAAGAAAACTACAGATGAAATCAAAATTGATCGCTGCATTTAAGTACTGGATCAATATTTAAGTTTACCTTTTAAATGTTCAACGATAATTCTGCAGCCACTTAATGTTACAGTTATTAAATTACTAGCAGCATGGTCCGGCGTTGCCCGTGCTTGATTCACAAATCGTACGACTCGTACAGCTATCACTTGACTTAAAATATTTGTGCCCTTCCTTGCCTTTAAAGGTGTGCCCTTTGCGGTACTGATGTTGCTACATGCCTTACTTCTTGCCTATCTCAAACTACGAATTTTTTCTAAGCTCTATACTAAACATTAAATCTGTTACGAAAAAAGAACTAAACAAAATGAACACAAAACGATCAGATTTTTAAAAAAAAGGACTCTTAACTAGAAAAACCGAATTAAAAAAAAATGTTAAATATTTTTCACACCCAACCCAGTTCTGCGGAATCAGAATCAACGTTGAGTTTAAGCAAGCGAATGAGCCAATTGGAGTAAAGTGTCATGCATATTTAATTGTTTTCTCCCATTTGTGACGAATACAGATATCGATATTTTTTGCATGCTAGTTAGCATTTGTGTCAGTCAGCTGTTGGCTCTCCCGCTGGCCAATAGAATCTTCCTACCTATTCGGACAGCCAGTTATAGGCTCTCACTCTGGCCAGTAGAAAATGGCCACAAACTACATGAAAACTGCCGCATGGGCATGTACATTTTGGTGCAAATCCGTCGAAGACTTCGGCCGTGCATTCGTTACACACACACACACACACACCCTGCCGATTATAGATATTAGCCAAATTATTTTTTCTGGAATTTGTGCAGTATTTCATACAATGCAGCGGATAACGAGTTTGTATTGTCCTCACAAATGTCATTTTTCCTTTTCTTTCATTAATTTAACGGTTGTCAGTCTAGTTGAAGAATTCGCAAAGCCATCATTGTGATTATCCCGCATATGGTTAACTGAATATTCGTTATCTGTGTAGTAGTTCCTTTCTATGGTAAATGTTTCGACCTCAGGTAGGGTCCCTCCTGAGGGACGTATTCCTTGTTTATCTACTGCAAGAACCTTACTAGAAACTTCGGTTTGACTTTTAGTTTTAGTTTTTATTGTGACACACGGATCTAAAAGTCTACTCCATGTTACCCGGCATATTTGGTAACTGTGTTTAATAAACAATTTTCCGAAGCCTGTAAGAGGTCGTTTGCGATAAAATAATGCAGAAGCCATTGACTCCTCGACAATATTAACTCCGTGAGTGGCGGTTTTTATCCGGAATTGTCTTTCTCCTAGATGGGTTACATAGTGAAATAGAGGAGAATGGTATTTAAAAAGAAATACGTTTGAAAAAGTATTTGTAAAAATGAGCTATTCAATGAAATAAAACTTTATTATACTAGAGAATTATGGTAAAAAAAAAAAAAATTATATCTTTATAATTATGAAAGATAGATGGTTATTTTTGTTTATTTATTCTTTTTCTTACTGCCTATGCTACTGCTTCTGCGATTACATCAGTTATTGTTATGTTTAAATTTCTACTGTATAGACATTTTCTACCTAATCCAAACCAGAGACTTAAGTTCAGAAATGGCTTCACATTTTTCACTGAACATTTTTGTGTCTCCCTCCGCCTGTCGTCGTCGTCTGTCTGTGGGTGTGTCTCCCTTCCTCGGCCTGTCGCCTGTCTGTCTGTGGGTGGGTGTCTCTCTCCCTCCGGCCGGTCGTCGTCGTCTGTGCTTGTGTGTGTGTGTGTGTGTGTGTCTCCCTCCCTCCGGCCGGTCGTCGTCGTCTGTGCGTGTGTGTGTCTCCCTCCCTCGGTCTGTCGTCGTCTGTCTGTCTGTCTGTGTGTGTGTGTCTCCCCTCCCTCCGGCCGGTCGTCGTCGTCTGTGCTTGTGTGTGTGTGTGTGTGTCTCCCTCCTCCGGCCGGTCGTCGTCGTCGTCGTCGTCGGTCGTCGTCGTCTGTGTGTGTGTGTGTGTCTCCCTCCCTCCGGCCGGTCGTCGTCGTCTGTGCTTGTGTGTGTGTGTCTCCCTCCCTCCGGCCGGTCGTCGTCGTTTGTGCTTGTGTGTGTGTGTCTCCCTCCCTCCGGCCAGTCGTCGTCTGTGTGTGTTTGTGTCTCCCTCCCTCGGCCTGTCGTCGTCTGTCTGTTTGTGTGTGTGTCTCCCTCCCTCGGCCTGTCGTCGTCTGTTTTGTGTGTGTGTGTCTCCCTCCCTCGGCCTGTCGTCGTCTGTTTGTGTGTGTGTGTCTCCCTCCCTCGGCCTGTGTCGTCTGTCTGTCTGTCTGTGTGTGTGTGTCTCCCTCCCTCGGCCTGTCGTCGTCTGTCTGTCTGTCTGTGTGTGTGTGTCTCCCTCCCTCGACCTGTCGTCGTCTGTCTGTCTGTGTGTGTGTGTCTCCCTCCCTCCGGCCGGTCGTCGTCGTCTGTGCTTGTGTGTGTGTCTCCCTCCCTCCGGCCGGTCGTCGTCGTCTGTGCGTGTGTGTGTCTCCCTCCCTCGGCCTGTCGTCGTCTGTCTGTCTGTCTGTCTGTGTGTGTGTGTGTCTCCCTCCCTCGGCCTGTCGTCGTCTGTCTGTGTGTGTGTCTCCCTCCCTCCGGCCGGTCGTCGTCGTCTGTGTGTGTGTGTCTTCCCTCCCTCCCTCCCTCCGGCCGGTCGTCGTCGTCTGTGCGTGTGTGTGTCCTCCTTCCTCCTCCCTCGCTCCGGCCGGTCGTCGTCGTCTGTGCGTGTGTGTGTGTGTCTTCCCTCCCTCCCTCGCTCCGGCCGGTCGTCGTCGTCTGTGCGTGTGTGTGTGTGTGTCTTCCCTCCCTCCCTCGCTCCGGCCGGTCGTCGTCGTCTGTGCGTGTGTGTGTGTGTGTCTTCCCTCCTCCTCCAGCCGGTCGTCGTCGTCTGTGCGTGTGTGTGTGTGTGTCTTCCCTCCCTCCGACCGGTCGTCGTCGTCTGTGCGTGTGTGTGTGTGTGTGTGTCTCTCCCTCCTCCCTCCCTCCGGCCGGTCGTCGTCGTCTGTGTGTGTGTCTTCTTCCTCCTCCCTCCCTCCTCCCTCCGGCCGGTCGTCGTCGTCTGTGCGTGTGTTTCTCCCTGATTTACCAGTTTTAGAATCTTCTAGTAGACACCATCGTTACAGAGAAAAGACCTACCTTTTCAGTGAACTTGAAGTCGACCTCCTTGTTGAGTCTGAGGCCCTCACCAACAAATTTAACTTTTTCTTCTCAGCGCTATGAGATGTTCAAGCTGCCGTACCTTCGTAATCACCATTAAACACATCCAACTCTTTCCGCATCATCTTAACTGCCCTCAGATTTACATCCAAACACCCTGAAATGGTAGTATTGGAGCTTCCGTTGTGAGGGCCAAATAATACAGCATGCCGTTTCCAAATTTCGTGTGGAATGAATTGCCATGGTGCTCTTTTTTCTCAGATTGCGCCCAATACTCTTATACAGTACAAAGCGGTAATCAAAACCAACGCAGATGCGTGAAAATAAAAACATAAAATAGTGACAAATTAACCATAGCTCTCTCTCACTAAAATATATATATATATATATATATATATATATATATATGTGTGTGTGGAGTATGTAATTATAAGTTAACAAAATGATAGAATATAAACAGTGGAAACTAAATTTGATTTTTAATGACTGCAGCCCAAGTGCATGGCAAATTGATGCTTCTGCGTTTTTCCTTGGAATGAAAATTGAAAATGTGTTTTTATATATATATATATATATATATATATATATATATATATATATATAGATTACATCGAAGGCAATAAATCCACTGAGGTGCAGGGTTAGTGCGTATGAAAGAATGACAAGGAAAAACATTAATCAGCGAGAACACTAAAAACAGGAATTTACGGTGACATCAATCCATTTCAACTGTAAATTGACGAGACTTTTTCGCCAATTTCATGTTGAGCTTAAATCTATAGTCTACACTGGCAAAAATAAGTTTAAGACCATTATTTAAAGTTTTATTTATTTCAGAATGTTTCTAATAAAACAATATAAAATAGTTTTATTCTGTACGCTTTAGGTAGAATTTATTTTTTTTTTTTTTTTTTTTGATTAATGTAAAAATTCGATATTTCTTCACAACTTAAAATTTTAATACTGGATTAATTTAAATTATCCAAATCTGACGGTAAAATAAGTTTAACTCCGAATGGGTATTATGCAAATTATTTGCCAGATGGGTGATCCCATGGCTGGTCATTAATGCATTATATAGTGTAATAACTGAGCATTGTTATACAATTCGCTATAGGAAAACGTCGTAATCGTAACCCAGTGACTAAATCAAAAATCGTGTTATTTCATCAAACGTTTATTTTATGAACCATAAGCAAGCAATTAAAATGCAGCAAAACGGCTTGTGTTCAGTCTTGGAATCTTTACTTGGATTCTGGAAAATATAAGGATTGGGAGCCCTAAGAAAACAGTGCAACTGGATAGACGAATTCATAGTCTTTCCGAAGTTAATCGAATGCTGACGGCTGTGGATATTTGGAGGCAATTATCTGGTAAAACTGGCGTTAGTTTTACACCGCAAACTGTCCAAAACCGTCTAAGAGAATTTGCATTATTTGGGCGCATTGCTGGAAAAAAATCCAATCATTTCGGAGAGGAATCGACTTGAGTGACGAGTCACGCTTTTGCATCTTTGGATCTGATGGAAAAAAAAAAACCCTTTGTCAGACGCCGCCCAACCGAGGAATTCCATCCTAAATGTATCAAAAAGACGGCGCAAGCAGGAGGTGGGGATATAATTGTGTTGGGTGCGTTCAGTAGCTTTGGTATTAATACAAGTGTTAAAGTTCGTGGAAAATTCCCCAGTGTAAGATATATGTAGCTAGTTACGGAACCAAATACCACCTGGTGCTATTTATCAACAAGATAATAATCCTATTCATAAAGCCAAAAAGGTAATGGAATTGTTTGCTCACCATAATATGGGTGTCATTGTGTGGCCTCCACAGACTCCTGAAATAATCCGACTGACAATTTAGGGAATTACATATCTAAAAGAGTTCGTTACAAAAACCTATACATTTAGCGCAATCATACGATTATATTAAGCAAATGTAGCAGAGCATTCCAAATGTTTGTGTTTGCCTATCAAGCTCAATGCCTCGGCGATGTGAAGCTGTATTTGATAAAAGATTACGACACTAAATATTAACCATGAGTCTTAAACTTAAACCCCAGTGTAACTACCTTAGAGGAGAGTACATCAGCACAACTACCATGAAATTTATGGAAAAAACAGGACTGTAAGAATGTGACTATATATATATATATATATAATTTTTTTTTTTTTTTTCAATTTTAAGTTCCTATTTTATATAGGTTTTCCTGTTGGCTGAAGTAGCTATTCGAATAAGGTGAATTTGGATTCCTACTCCGTAATTATATATATATATATATATATATATATATATATGACAGTAAGATATATAATCCGGTTTTTTTATTGATATTTTTCAATGTAAATTTACAGAGCATCAATACATCCCTACCCTACCTAAACATAACCCCTTTTTCGAACGTAACTGATAAAATAAAAGTTAATAAAAATGAACACGCTACCACCCCTTGTCTGAATGATTTGATCCCTCTGTATCCTTGGAAACAGTGAGTTATGAATTTTTGTGCCTTTAAAAATCAGTAACTTTTTTTAAAAAAAAGTAAGTTACTCCAAAATTCGCTTGAGGATTGAATTAATGTTTTTAAAATTATTCCAAAATTAAATTCGAAGCTTTTAGCTTCCATTTTTTAAACCTGGTTATTACCGTGTAGCGAAAAAAACATTTTTAACCAGTTATTTATTATTATATATATATATATATATATATATATATATATATATATATATATATATGAAGTGTTTGCGTGGAGATAATATTCATATCTATAAGTATATGCATAACTTTCAGTTTTTCTCAATACTGAGCCAAATCTTAAAGTTCTATAGTTCTTTTGCAAACTAACTTGCTCGAATCGCAATCATTCTTTGCAATAATTATATACCACAAACTTCAACCTTCAGTACATGTAACAATCTGTATCATCCTGGCAAATACACATAACTATTTTCGATGTAAGCAAGAAAGGCCATCATATCAAATTTCCCTTAAAAAAAAATAAAAATGACGCTCTTAAGAAATCATTTCCCCCACCAAACTCCCTCAATTTAAAGACAAAATAGCGCCATAAAAAAAAAGTAACTAAATCTGACACTCAAATATGGATGTGGTATTCTAATGATTCACGTGAATCGGTCTGTCTTGCATATTATTGTTAGCTAAATTTATTTGCGTTTTAATTGATCAACAGAAGTGAAATTGAGGAAATTAAATTTTAGTAGATAATCACAACTCCAAATAGTTGGCATTGACTACATATAGTACGCTTATGTTTAATTTTGACAACTTATTTCCCCACTTAGGTTCAGAATATCATGAAATATCAGGAGGACAGTGATGAAATTTTGATGCGACATAATGAGGAAAGATAGCTTGTAAAATTTGATATGCACAGGGCAGATTGACTGCAAGAAAGATAGAAGAAAATGCATAACATGCCTGGCGAGCTTCTGTAAAAAGATGTCAGAACAGTCTAGGAAAGATAATAAAACAACAGCATCTGTTAAGAGCTACAGAGGATAGAATATTGATACGATACATAATCGCCAACATCCTGAATCCATACGGCATATTGAAGTTATGATAAATGGTTGTACATATGTAGATTAATCAGTCAGAAAACTACATTTTCGATACTATCAATATATATTGATATCTCAGAACAAATACGACTGAGTGGCGAGTTAGATCCTTACTGGGTGCTCCATACATTCGGCCTTGTGCCACATCTAAGCAACGCTTAGAAAATCCCTATGGGTATCATTACGTAGTCTAATGGTTAGCAAGCTTGTCTCGCTAAAACAATTAGGACTAAATAGTGAGTTCGATCCTCACTAGGTGCCCTGTAGTTTAGGCCTTGGGCCGCATTTAAGCTATGCTTAGAGAATCTGTTGGATACCTCGACATGGCTAATTGTTGGGCACCTTGAGGTGTAATGGTTAACAAGCTTGTCTCGATAGCACAATTACTACTAAGTAGTGAGTTCGATCCTCGCTGGGTGCTCCATACTTTCGACCTTGTGCCACATCTAAGCTACACTTTGAAAATCGCTATATTGATATCTCAGGATATCAAGCTTCAACCGAAACTCATTTTAATTCCAGTTCATTATTCGTATTGGTGATTGCATGGAAAATGACAAAAAAAGAGCGGGGAAAAACAGGTTTAATATAATCAGAACGATAGATTTCACTCAATATATTCTATCGTTTTTGCAATGTAAGACAAAACATGCTGTGGAATAAATTCTAGTTACTTCTCAAACTTTCGTCGTGATTTTTTTCGTTGGGGTGGTGCAATCTTCAACCAATCGTTCACTGGCAAAGGAAATCTCCTGACTACATATTTGCAGACTGCAGGAAAGTCAACCTATAAACACAGCTTGTTGGTTGAAAGCGAAATTGTGTTTGTCTGATGGCTCCCGGTTCTCTCTACTACGACAGGACATGATTGATGAAAGCATGAAGCTAAGCACGATCAAATTTTGGGGAAAATAGGCGCGGTTAGGGTAAGGCCGAACGTTAGCATATCAGTCAAGCGAATATAAGTGATGATATACAATGCGACCGCTGG